GCACAGGGTTGAGGAGAGCAACAGGCATCCTGCTCTCTGGAATTCAAGGTTGGAGAGAGCCCCTGGACTTACATGATTCCGGGCTGCCCTCCTTCCACTTGAAATCTACTAAAGAGAAGAAAAGCTTTTAATTCTTAAAAATAAAGCAAACACTGACTTTCCTTTCTATCCTAAAGTAGAGGGACATGCTGGACTCTCCGTGCCCTACTCCCTTTCTCTCCTACTGGTTGGCTAGAGATCAGGCCTTCTCAGGACTCCCATCCAGGGAGACAAGCGTTGGCGGACAGACTGCTGTTTACTTGCTAGCAGAGCCCTGCTGTGTTTTCATAGCTCAGAATAGTTCCTTGGCCCTCTCCAGGCCTGACGGGGGGGGGGGGGGGGGGGAACAGGGGGATAAACCTCACTGTTTGTTTTCATGATAATTCTGGGACACACCTCTTCCTCTTTCTCTGCATCATGGTCCTCATTTGGGAACTCTCAGAAGGGGTAAGTTGTGGGTTAAGAGGGTCCAAGACTACTAATTTCCTACTTATGTCCCCCAACTGGGCTCCAGAAGAGGGAAGGACAATAACTGACTGTACATGGGCATTTTGGTTGGGATGAAAATTCCACAGCTATTAAAGAAAGAGTTGATTAAAGGACTACAGGGCAGAGCTGGAGGAGAAAAAAAGGGGGCGGGTAGAAGGTAGAAGGGGTGACCCCCCTCCCCAATCTGGATCTCAGTTGGATACCAAGCTCTACATAGTGAGCTGACTTCTGACTGAGAATTGTGGGGGCTTCTCTGGCTCCGGGAACACCTCAGGTCTCAGCTGGGCTCTGGCAGCTAGTGTTTGGAAGGTGCCTAGAGATGGGAGGAAGAACTGACTTCGTTAAATACTCTTTCGAACTCTTTGAACTTTTTTTTAAACCATGTGAATATATTACTTTTGAAAATATTTTAATTTAAAAAAATATGAACACATCTTTTTCTTCTGGCAATAATGAAACATGTCCTTCTGCTAGGTCACTAAAAGTCAGGTACTTCCAAAGGAGCACCCCAGAGTCAGAAAATGTTAGAACCGAAAGGAGAGTGAGAGTCACCAATTCTCATTCTACAAGTTGACAAAAGTAAAATCCAAAGAACTCTAGCAACTTGGTCAAGATCACATAGCTCTTTATCTTTCTATTTATCCTTTCCCTTTTTACCTTATAAGTCCTAGTGATGGCAGTAGGGGACAAATCTCATGGGCTGCCTGCTGGAAGTTTGAAGATGTTTTCTGAGGGTCTTCTAAGGAGAAATACACCCAGCTTTTGAACCCTCTCCCTCACTCCCAGTCCCCACCTTGTTCCATACCCAACCAAGCTGATCTATGACTGAGTGATTGATGACACATTCCTTCCCTTTTTCTTTAGTTGGTCCCAATTCTTTCAAAGAAACCGTGAGATGAAACAAGGAGGGACAGTGGGTTGGGGCTGGATTCTTAGTTCACATTTTCCATCTCTCCTCAGACAGCCCCTATTTGCCTCTGGGGTACAGACCAGGAAGAAGGGGGCAAGTGAGCTTTTCCCAAATAGTCCCAACCACCATTTTAGGGGCTTACTTCCCTTGACTCTGCCTCTGCTGTGCAGCATCAACAAAGTTTAACTCCTGGCGGGAAGGATCAAACTTGATGCAAGAATGTTTCCTAGCTGCTAGGGTGGTTTGGCACTGCTCAACGGTTGATTGCAGGTTGGAGAAGTGTCACCATCTGGTCATGAGGGAACTGGTTGGCCATTTGTTGAGACAGGATATTCTCTGGGGTGAATAACAGCTTCCTTTTGGGGCATGACATTAAAGAAGATGGAGGAGCCCTGACCAGTTTGGCTCAGCAGTTAGAGCATCAGCCAGCGCCCCAAAGAGTCCTGGGTTCAATTCCAGTCAAGGGCACGTACCTTGGTTGCAGTTTGGTCCCCAGCCCCAGATGGGGTCGTGAGACAGGCAACCAATTGATGTGTCTCTCTCACATCAATGTTTCTCTCTCTCTCTCTCTCTCTCTCTCTCTGTGTGTGTGTGTGTGTGTCTCCCATTCCCACTCTGTCTAAAGATAAATGGAAAAATATATATATCCTCAAGTGAGGATTTAAAACAACAAGAAGAAAACAGAGGAGAGGGAGAGGATGGTAAGTCTGTGCTTCCTGTAAAGATTCCAGTGATTCATTTGATTTTGGTAGAAAGCAGACACTGGGGTAATGAGCAGGGAGTTCTTAACTGTTTACAATGAAGCAAATGTCCTCTGGTGGTTTTCCGCGGACAAAATGTGCAGCCCATCCTGAGACAGACAGCATGCTCTCCGCACATGGTCAATAGTTGCACAGTTCAAGGTTCTGAAGCTGAACTTTCTCACCACGCCAGAGATAAGTCAGCCATTTTCACTGGCTAACAATGATTAATCCGCCTCTCCCTTCACCTGCTTTCCCCCACTTATTTTGTAAAAAAAAAAAGAACAGGGTCATTCACTTCAAAGGTGACAGCAGTCTATTTAGCCAGTTTCTACTGTCTACTCCTAAACACCTCCCCCATGGATCAGATGGTGGCGGGGTGGGGGTGGGGAGCACCCAAAAAAGAAATAAACAAACAAAAAAACTGTACATCTTGCAATTTGGGCTGTACCCCTTAAAAGAAACCTCCCCCGCTGCTCAGACAAAGCCTTGGCTGGAAGCTGGGTTTTGCATCCCTGATACAATGTGCAGACTCGACCCACTGCAGTGATCACTGCTGAGCAAAAAGGCAGCTCCTCTCTCAACAGAACCCGGAGCCCCAGCCAGAATAGAGGATTTGGCTGCAGGTAAACTCATAAATTCTTTCTGGTAATAAAAGCAATTTTTGGATGAGGTGTGTGGTAAATTATGACTCCTTCCCCTCTTTGCTTCCCTGTCAGCAAATAAACTTGTTTGGGTGAATGAGTCAACCTTGCTCTAGGAGGAGAAAGTGCCAGGGCACTGAAACCGCTGCACGTATTTAGCAGCAGACCAGACTGTGCTCTCTGGCACCTTCCTTCTCGCTCTTCCCAAACCAAGAGCCCCAAGCCTCTGGATTTCTGTTTGTGGAGAAAGTGCCTGAGGAGTGTCCAACTAGTGTTCCCGCTGAGAGGCCCGTATAACTTTCCATCTTCACTGCTTCCCAGACTCGGCTGGTCGTCCTCCCAGGGGCCATCAATAAGTCTTGAGTCATCTCTGCCTGGGACGAAATACTAGGGAGCTCACTGACATTCGTACACATGGGTTCAGTTCCGATCTAAGGTTCCCCCAACTGCCATAGTGAGTTGTGTAAATATCTAACCTCCCTGCCCCGCTGGAGTGTGTCAAGGTCCCAGAGGACAACCAAGATTTAACTTTTAACTTCGAATTCCTCGCAAAGCCAGGCATGGGGCTTTGCTCAGGAAATGTTTGTTGAATTAAACTGGAGAACTTCTTGAAAGGGGGCATGACAGGAGTTAGGAGGAGATGATGGAATCCCCTCTCTGGAGAGAGTTCTTTACATTAGTGAATTCTCATCGAAACTTCCAGCAACTCAAATACTTCGTCCCCGTTATTCACCTCAAATACCCACAAGTCCTTTGAGCATTTGAGGACTCCAGTTTCTCTCTTCCCTCAGTTTTCTAGCAGGTGCAGGACTTTTGGGGCCTCGTCTCTTTCTGCACATGATATAAATGTGCTGGAGGCAGCAAGAAGGGGCTTGAAGGTAGAAAGGCAGAGACTAGCACAGCATCTCATGATGACGTACAATTGCTGTGACCAAGAGGGTCCCCCTGCCCCGTGCGTAGATATCAGCTCCATCCGACTCCTTATCAACACAAGCATTCTCCCTGCGTTTCCTCCAGAAGATAGGGCTCTCCACTAGCCCCCCATATGCTGAGGGAACCCCACCTGACTCGAAGATTCTGGTTCCTAGAAGCCCTGTGGGGAACCAGATAGTGGCCTTTGAATATTTTGTCAGAGGATCTGCCCTATTTGCCCTCGACTCACCCCACACCATAGAAACTTCAGTCCCCAGGGATCACAACCGTAGTTACTCAATACTTTCAAGGAAGGCTTATCTGGGTGGAGGGAAGAGACTATCTCTTCTAGTGGGGCCCACTACCTCTAGCTTAGCAGTCCTGACAATACACGACTGGGCATTTGTTACTTTTATTTATTCCTTGTCTATATCCATGGCTATAATAAAAATTGTATGGACTTTCTGGTGAATATAAATATCTCCAAGTACAAATGAAAAACAAAAAGATAAAACTACAGAAGCCCTTTCCAGAGTCCCCAGTCGCCAATTTGTTGGTGTTTTTATTTAGAACCATATATTAATCACACAGTGTTTTCATAAACATACCTTCATTTTATTGCTTAAACTTATGTGTTAAAATTCCAAAGGTCCTAACTTGAAGGACATTAAATGAATGAATCAATCAGCCCATTCAAAGATGATTATTTTCTAGCTCTGAGCTGTGGAGCCATTTGGAAGAGGATTTGAGTTCCCAAACCAGAGGCATTTCCTAGACCCTAAGGCAGTTAAGAAAGGCCCAGCAAGATGATAGTACCCAGTACAATAAAATCTACTATCTTCTAAATTAATAACTTAAAACTTGAATCACCAGGGCACCAAGAGTTTTCTTTGTTCCCAGGTGAGTGCCGTTGCAGACTTAGGAAATCAGGCATCTTTGCAAGAACCACAGCGACTTAGACTCTGTCCTGTGTCTCTGGCTGGGTTTCAGAGCCAGGAGGGCAGCCCCTGGCACTGTCAAGCAGCATGCCAAAGTTAATAATTGGCCCTGCAGAGTACATGGCCGATCAGGCTGTTTTTGTGTGACTGCTTTTCTTTTTTACGTAAATCACCCTGAACATGTTTGCATCAACCTACTGATGATGCACCTTTGATCAATAAATTTTAGACAAAAGTGGTTTTTGAGTCCAAAGATCAGGGCTGGGTTGGCCTGCAGACTGCTTACAGGGTGTATAAAACAGGCAAGACGCAGGCTGATAGCAGAGCTATCACCACCACGTCTGCAAGGGCTCAGCTGACGGCTTCCTGAGGGGCCAAGGAGTGAGCATGGAGGAAGGCATGAATGTCCTGCATAACTTTGGGATCCAGTCAACACACTACCTCCAGGTGAATTACAAGGACTCCCAGGATTGGTTCATTCTGGTCTCCGTGATTGCAGACCTCAGGAATGCCTACTATGTCCTCTTCCCCATCTGGTTCCATCTTCGAGAAGCTGTGGGCATCAGACTCCTCTGGGTAGCTGTGATTGGAGACTGGCTCAACCTCATCTTTAAGTGGTGAGTAAGAGCCAGACAGAGAGGAGATCAGCAAGGAAAGAGGCTGGCATTCTTTCTGGAAATGTCTGTCCATCAGAAGTTGCCTTCTCCATGCTATTCAGGAAGCCACAGGTTACTCCCCTCCTGACTTTCCACCAGCCACATAAAGAGAGAAGACGGAGAAAACCCTGTCAGTAAGTTGAAGATACAGGACAGGCTATTTCATATGGACGGAAGGCCAGTTGGACGTAGTGAAAAGTCTGGATTATAGGCTATCAGCAAAGAAACACAGTTTTACTACTTTGCGGCAGAATAGGTAACATAAAGGTAGATGTATGAAAGAAGAAAAATCATGTATGGAAAAAGGAAACACATAGATAATTAAAAACCTGTTGTGTTGGGTAATAAGAAGGAATCCAGAGAACTGGGCTCCATCCAAGTTTTGTTCAGCCACCTACCAGCTAGCTGCATGTCTGGGGCAAGTCGTAGCAACTCTCTGAGTTTCTGTTTTATAATCTGTAAACTTAGGTTATCTCTGGGACCTTCATAATAATTATAGTTAACAGTTATTGAGCATTTAGTATGTGCCAGGCCATGTGCTAAGTGTTTTTCAGGAGGTGGTTAGTATATTACAGATGAAGGGACTTTGCCTCCACCAACATGGGTAGTAAATGTCAGAGGCAAGATTTAAACTCAGGCAGGCTGGCTTCAGGGGCAAGGCTCTTAAGAACCATGTTACATCCAGTGTTGATGAACTGACTCTTGGGGAGGGGGCAGAGAACCTCAATTTTAACATCTGCCAATTTCTATTACTTATGTATTCCCATTATGGCCTCTTGCAAGCTACTGATGGGTTCAACTTGCAAATATCCTGAGTATTTTACAGTTGTTAGCCAGCACCAGCTGACTTGAGCACGTTACTGGTTTTGGCCTTTCTTTCCTCATCTAGAAAATGAAGAGCTGGACCAGCTGCCCTCTAAAAGCTTCACCATTTCTAAAGCTATCTAGGACTGCTATCAGATGATTCTCACATCTCTTTCAGCTCTAATATTCTTTGGCCATAAACAGTAAAGTCCTTTAAAATAGAAAAAAAGTATTGAGCCCAGCCAGTGTAGCTCAGTGGACTGAGCACTGTCCCATGGACTGAGAGATCCCCACTGGATTCTGGGCAGGGCACATGCCCGGGTTGTGGGCTTGATCCCCAGTAGGGGGGCGTGCAGGAGGCAGCCAATCCATGTATCTCTCTCTCATGGATGTTTCTATCTCTCTCTTCCTTCCTCTCACTCTAAAAAAAATCAATAAAAACATATTTAGCCCTGGCCAGTTTGGCTCAGCGGTTAAAGCGTTGGCCTGTGGACCGGAGAGTCCAGGGTTGGGTTCCCACTTGGGGCACGTACCTCGGTTGCAGTTCGTCCGCAGCTCCAGTTGGGGTTGTGAGGTTGGCGACCAGTTGGTGTGTCTCTCTCACGTCGATATTTATCTCTTTCTCTCTCTCTCTTCCTCCCTCTCTCCCTCCCACTCTGTCTGAAGATAAATGCAAAAAAATGTTCTTGGGTGAGGATAAAAAAATAAATAAATAAATGATAGATAAATAAATAAATAAAACATATTTAAAAAGAAAAAACTATTGGGCTCGGAAGCCCAAGGCATATTGATGAGATTCTGAAATTTCTGTTGAAAAATCTACTAAGTTTTTTCTGTAACATCCCCTATTCAACAACATGACCCTAAAAAATAGAAAGATAAATGGTTATTCCAAACATCTGATCTCAATTAAAGAATGATGGATTTTCGCCCTGGCCAGTTTGGCTCAGAGGTTAGAGCATTGACCCGCAGATCAAAGAGCTGCAGGTTTGAGTCCGGTCAAGGGCATGTTCCTTGGTTGCAGTTCAGTCCCCGGCCCTGGTTGGGGTCAGGCAGGAGGCAACCAGTTGAGCGGTCTCTCTCACATCCATGTTTCTCTCTCTGACTCTCTCTCTCCCCCTCCCACTCTGTCTGAAAATAAATGTAAAAATATCCTCGGGTGAGGATTAAAAAAAAAGAATGATGGATTTTCTCTGAGTTGGTAGAGGTGGGAGTTAATGACTGTCCTGTCCTGATTCTGGTGAACAATCACTATTCCACCACCTCAGGGAAAAGGAGGCATCCAAACTGACCTCTTGACACCTGTTTCCACAATGAAAGACATACCTAGTCCTTATCAAAGGGAAGCGGTTTGGCCCTGGCTGGGTAGCTCAGTTGGTTAGAGCATCATCTTGTGCACTGAAGAAGTTCAGGTTCGATCCCCGGGGCACACGTAAGGGAGGCAACCCAATCGATGTCTCTCACTCCGTCTCTCCCTCCCTCTTCTTTTCTCTCTCTCTCAAATCAGTTTTTTAAAAAGGAACATATCTTTGGGTGAGGATTAAGAAAAAAATAAATAAAATGAAAGTGAAGTGGCTTGTCTCAGATACCCCGTATCAAAGCGGAGAGGACAGAGCAAGCACCGGAAGCTGTGTGTCCTTACAGAGTCCTGAAGAGAAGAGGAACCTGGTAGGACATGCAAGTTCAAGCTGCAAACTGTAGTTCCATGTGCGTCCTTCTAGGACGAATTCTTCTTGGGGTTTAAAAAATGTTACATAGCTGACTGCGAATATGGATTTTTGGATCTCAGATTTATTTATTTATGTTTGAATAAATAATGCATTCAAATAGTTCAAAATTCAAAAGTTATATAAAGAATGTACCACCTCTTCCCAGCCACCCAGTTCCCCTCTTGGAGGTGGCCGATCTACCAGTTTCTGTTTAGGGTTACAAGCTGCTCTCTTTTCTCAAAGGTATGGGATTCTGGCAAAAGAGTCCCTTCAGTAACTCCAGATACCGGTTCTGCTTTTCCATAGGATTCTCTTTGGGCAGCGCCCTTACTGGTGGGTCCTGGACACAGACTACTACAGCAATACTTCTGCGCCGCTGATAAAGCAGTTCCCGGTCACCTGTGAGACTGGACCAGGTAAGAGACCCACCCTCTGTAGAGACAGAAGCTAGGTGGTCCTTGCTTACTGTGGACACCTATTAACATTCATTGTGGGTGAAGCTCTCTTTGAAGGGACATGAGGAGAGCCATTTCTTTTGCTTTTTCTCATGATCTTCAACGCGATGCAATTCCATTTTAATTGACTTCATGAAGACCTTCCTGAATCTCATCTTGCTGCTATTTTGGAAATCTGACTAATATTTCCAGAACCTTAACTGCTAATCCAGAGAGGCAGCACCCTCACAGGCAAAGGGCTCATGAGAGTAAGTGTGCTATGGCCCTTTCTCCAGGGAAGGTTAAGCCCTAGCGGCCTGAGGCCCTGGCTGTCCTTCCCAGAAGCCCGGCCCGGCAGCTGTGTCTTCCTGAGCTGACCGTCTAAGCCCACACCCTGCCTGTGTTTTGCTAGTTACAGCCATACTGATATTGTTCAATCAAATGACAGATTTTGTTTTTCAGGTAATCAGAATATCCAACCCCTTTGCTCACCTTAAGTCTCGCTCACCCTTAGGAAGGGTGTTGGCATCCCTTTATCAGGGACCCTATCCCTGACCCCCCAAACTAGGGCATAGCCCATAGTTATTCATTCTCACAAACCCTTGTTCACTTCAGACCATACTCATTTATTCAAGTGCTATTTATTGAGCATCTACTCTGTGCCAGACACTATTCTAGGAACTTGGAATACCTTGGTAAATAAAACAAAGATCTCTGCCCTTGTGGAGCTAATGTTTCAATGGTGTGTGTGTGTATGTGTGTGTGCTATATACAAAATTATAACACACAAGTAAAATATATAGAATATTAGAGCCCTGGCCGGTTTGGCTCAGCGGTTGGAGCGTCGGCCTGCGGTACAGAGAGACCCGGGTTCGGTTCCCGCTAAGGGCACGTACCTCGGTTGCAGTTTGTCTCCGGCCCTGGTTGGTCATGCGGGTGGCAACCACTCGATGTGTCCCTTTCACATCGATGTTTCTCTCTCTCTCTCTGTCCCACTCTATCTGAACAAAAAAATGAAAAATGTCCTCGGGTGAGGATAAAAAAAAATAAAATAAAATATTTTAGCCCTGGCCGGTTTGGCTCAGCGGTTAGAGCGTCGGCCTGCGGTCCGGAGAGACCCGGGTTCGGTTCCCGCTAAGGGCATGTACTTCGGTTGCAATTTGTCCCCGGCACTGGTTGGTCATGCGGGTGGCAGCCACTCGATGTGTCCCTTCACGTCGATGTTTCTCACTCTCTCTCCCTTCCTCTCTCTCCCTCCCACTCTGTCTGTACAAAAAATGGAAAAATATCCTCGGGTGAAGATAAAAAAAAAAAAAAAAAGAATATTAGAAAATGATAATTTAGAAGAAGAAGGAGAAAAAGGTGGAGGGAAGGAGAAGGAGGAGAAAAGAAACGATGAGCTTTGTTTATGGGGTTCCCTGGAAGGCAGACTCACTCGGAGATCAGTGTACAGGAGTTTAGCTACTCTCAGGAGCAGCACCTATGGAAGGAAGACAGAAGCCAACTGGGCAGAAGGAGAAGCCTAGTGGTGATTCAGCCCAGCTAACTCCACACAGAGCTCTGAAGCTAGGAATGGCCCTTCAGATTTGTCTTAATTGGGTCAACAAGACCAGGCCCTTATACTCCAATATGGACTAGTGATTGGGTACAGGCCATCCCCAGGGAGAGGGTAACTGTGATCAAGATGGCTCTCTTCGGCCCAGAGCAATGCCCAGAGAAGGCTGAGAGCTAAGGCCCATTTGTGACCACACTCTCAACAGCTGGAAAAATAGGTCCTTCTTCCAGACTGGGATCTGGGTGGAGGTTGGCACATCTAAGGACCCTCCATATCTCAGAGTAGAGGGATCAGGAATGGGAACAGTTGCAGAATTAAATAGTGTGGTGACGGTAGCACTCATTGAGAAGGTGAAATTTGAGCAAAAACTTGAAGGAGGCCAGGGAATTAGCCAGTAAATTCTGGAGGAGGAATTGTCCAACCAAAAAGGCTAACAATGCCAAGACTCCGAGGCAGGAGCATGTTTAAAGAAAAGCAATGAGACCAGCATGAGCAGAGCAGAGGGCACAAGAAGAGAGGGGAAGAGAGGTAACAGAGAGCAAATCTGTTTGTAATTATACATCCAGTACTCTGTTTCTTTGGGTGATCTCTAGACTGTATATAAGTACAAGGGCTGGGCCTTCTCTGATTGTGCTCACCACTGTACTCCCAGAACCCAGCACAGTGCTGAGTGTGTAATAGGAGCTCAATAGATACTGGTTAAATAGGTAACTAAATGGACAAATGAATGGATGGACGAAGGGATAGATGACACCCAGATGGAGACTTCACCTTTCACCTATTCATTCATCTCTTTCCTGCCCTTTAGGGAGTCCCTCTGGCCATGCCATGGGTACAGCAGGTGTATATTATGTGATGGTCACATCCACCCTCTCTATCTTTCGGGGAAAGAAAAAGCCGACCTACAAATTTCGGTAAGAATTCAGCCCTGGGGTGTGGGTGGTGGAGAGCAGGAGGTGGCTTTCTCTGTAGCTCACACACCACTTCTCATCCACCTAGCCCATCCCACACTTTGGGTTCATACTGATAAGGTTGTGGCATGTCTGCTGAGGGTGAAGATTAGAGGCACAAAATGTTAGCTGGGAGAGACCCACAAGTGCACATTCTAATTTTACAGATAAGGAAATAGGTCCTAACATGGTAAAGGGGCTTCTGGAGATCAGGTAGTTAGGTAGTGGAAGGATTTAAATAAAGACCCACTTCTGCACCAACCATAGAGTCGTCCCATCCAGGTTAAAATAAAGAGAGAAACGTAAGACATTCCTACTACAGGGAATTCTGGCTCTGCAGCCACTGTGCAAACACAATTCTTACACACAAGCGTCCACCACATGCTGCAGCATCTTTGAGGTTTTGAGTACGGCATTAATTTACAAATACTCCATTGATGGCACCCAAGTTTGCCAGGCTTCGACACTCCTGCTGAAGCTGTTCTCTTTGCTGCAGGATCTGTATCTGGGTTCTGTTATGGTTGCCTCTTTCGTTGCAGGTTTTTGAACGTCATTTTGTGGTTGGGATTCTGGGCCGTGCAGCTGAACGTCTGTCTGTCACGAGTCTACCTTGCTGCTCATTTCCCCCATCAGGTTGTGGCTGGAGTCTTGTCAGGTATCAGCTGCTCTGACTTCTTCCCCCACTCCCCTGCGAATCCCATTTCTCCCTGATCAGGACAACATTCCTGCATTCCAGCCGTGTTCTGTAGTTATCAATGCTGTTAGCATTTCAGTGGGTTGAAAGTCAAGGGTGGGCAATTTGAAATGATTAATTGCTATGGGAGTGCCCAGATCTACACAATTAAGTGTGTTCCAGAAAAGTTACACTATACCAAATTACTTCCCCAATTAAATTAGCTTGAGACCTCCAAGCTTTTTACATTCGTTATTTCTTACTGATCTTCAACTGGGAGTGGCCCAGTTTAATTTTAAGGGAATCTACCAAATTTAACAAATTAACACAGTGTCCTAGGAAAGCTCTTTATTTAAATAAATTCATTTGCAGCTCTGGTCAAGGGCACATACCTGGGTGTACCTGGATTGCAGATTTGACCCCAGCCCCAGTCAGGGTCCTGCAGGAGGCAACCAAGCAATGTGTCTCTCTCATCTCTCTCTCTCTCTCTCACCCCCTTGTCCCTCCCTCCCTTCCACTCTATCTAAAAATCAATGGAAAAATATCCTTGGGTGAGGATTAACCAAAATAAATTAATAAATAAATGCATTTGCAATTTGCACACCTAATAGAAACCCACAGTTGATTTAATAGGTTTAGAGATTTAAATATTTGCATTTTCTTAGATCTAGTTTATAAGGGGCAGAAAAGATTTAGATTAAGTGTAGAAAAAATTTCTTGACTTTGTGGGAGGCACTGGAATAGGGAAATTGTGAATTTTCCTCCTGGAGATCTGTAAGAGCAGAAAACAAGGCTGAGGACAGAGAGAATGGTTTCGTGGCAACTACAACAGTAACACAGCGTTCAGTACTGGATTCCATGTCTGAGAAGGAGCCTGGAAGCCATGGTACGTGAAAGACCCGAGAATGTGTAGATTACAGAGGAGAATAACTACCTTCAAATGTGTTAAAGAGGTTCTGAATTTACAACTTAACTCCTACAGAAAGAACTGAGACCAATAGATGGCATTAGACAGGACAGACTTCATTCAGCTCAGCAAAAGAAAAACCGTTTTAATAATCAAATCCATTCAAAGATGAAATGGGCCACCCAAGTCGGAGTGAGCTCCTCACCCCTGAGGGTATTCAGTTGGAGACAAGAGGACCCCCTGACAGGAAACATGCATGCAGTAGGAGGATATATGTGACACGACTCTTCCATCTGAAAGAGTCTATGGCTGAGGAAAGGCTGGAGTCACATATGGGAATAAACCAGGTGACCCACTAAGAATCTAGCATCTGTGATTTAAAGACTGGCAGATGACATGTCACCCACTGGTTCCCAACCCACCTTTGGCTGAAAGTCCAGAGTCTTTCCTATTTCTCATCATCATTCTTTCTTCCGAGCAGGCATTGCCGTGGCTGAAACTTTCCACCACATCCGGAGCATCTACAACGCCAGCCTCAAGAAATACTTCCTCATTACCTTCTTCCTGTTCAGTTTTGCCATTGGATTTTACCTGCTACTGAAGGGGCTGGGTGTAGACCTCCTATGGACTCTAGAGAAAGCCAAGAGATGGTGCGAGCGGCCAGAATGGGTCCACATTGACACCACACCCTTTGCCAGCCTCCTGAAGAACCTGGGGACCCTCTTTGGCCTGGGGCTGGCTCTCAACTCCAGCATGTACAGGGAGAGCTGCAAGGGCAGGCTGAACAAGTCGTTCCCGTTCCGCCTCAGCTGCATCGTGACCTCCCTCGTTCTCCTGCACATCTTTGACTCTTTGAAACCCCCATCCCAAACTGAGCTGATCTTCTACGTCCTGTCCTTCTGCAAGAGTGCAGCAGTGCCCCTGGCATCTGTCAGTCTCATCCCCTACTGCCTTGCCTGGCTGCTGGGCCAGCCACACAAGAAGTCTTTGTAAGGAATGTGGAGACTTCAGTATTTAAAGTCAATGACTGTGCCAAGGATTGAGGGCAACGAGCGTCTTCTGCCAGCCCACTTTGAGGCCAGAAGTGCCAGCATCAGCTTGGGTGACCCCCTTCGTCCTATGCAATTCTAATCGTATTGGGGGATGTTTTTTGAAAAGCGAATAAGGGTATTTGAGAAAGCCTTGTCTGTTAGAAGTGGGTAGTTCAGGAGTTTTCCCTGAAGACTTGTTCTTCCATTAGAGGTACAAAAGTCAGACTTCCAGGTAGGGACAGCTCAGTCGCAGGCTGGGAATCCCACCTGAGAATGTTCTACCCATGCTCATTCTGACCCAGAAAAGGAGAAAAGAGAAGTGGATTTGATAGGAAAAGGATGGATAAAGGAGGATTTTTTAGTATCTTAAATATCATGCAAATTTTGTCCAACAATAGCTACATGGCTTTGATTGTACTTAAATCTTTAGGTAAGAGACTCTCAATAGTGGAGGACCAACCTAAAGAGTAATTAGTGGAGTAATTCTGCATCTTGCATTTTTCTATTTTATATCTGTGGTCATTGTATTTACTAAGATTTCTGAATGGCTGCAGTGACCTAGATTTGTACTAAGCCAGAGGGTTCAGGCGTAGTCAGCTTCTATCATTCTAGATCTTCCTCTTATTTTCCCAGCTCTGCTTTCCCCAGAATTTCTCACTGGCCCACACCTGCCCTGCTGGGTATTCAGATGCCTAAAGGTGACTCTGTGGTGGTGCTTTTGTTATGTTTCAGTTAAGCTCTGAAATCTTGGGGGAAAAGGTAAGGAGAGGGCAAGGAGAGGCAAGGATTTCCCTCTCCAGAAGGTTACTCCAATGTTACTTTTGATTCCTGGAGGACAACCGTGACTCCTTTCTCTATCCTAAACCAACCAAGAGCACATCCTTGGAGGGAAACCCTCCCTGCCTGTTCTCCAGTCTCAGCTGATTTGCAGAATATGTCCTTAAAAAAAAAAATGCTGAAGCCTATTTATTTGAGAGTCCTTGTTTTTGCTACTAATTATGTAGTTCACCATATATTATCATTCACACCAACCTTCCTGGTCATTACATCTTTAAAAAGAAAAATATGTATGTGCAGTATTTTATTAAAACAACATTTTATTTAAGAATGAAGTCTTGTTGATTACTGTATTATAGATGCAATGGAATCTGAAGTTTCTAATTCTGGCTCAGCTAAATTTCTAGCTCTTTCTCTATTTCCCTAAACATATAATTTGGTTTCTATGTACCTATGTTTTCCTTTTGGAGAAAAAAAGTGCTTTATCTCGAGCTGGCCAAGAATCCCAGTGGAGTTGGGGAGACTTATAAAGTGTCCATGGACACAGGTAGAGTTGAGCACAACAACATAGGCGCAATATCATTGGCCAAGACTGAACATTAGTTACCAGACCACAGGTCAAACCACAGCTTGAGGGCAGATAGGCAGGGTCATTACCAAACTAAACAGTCAGGAGACATAAGTTGCAGCACAACAAGACCAGGCAGAGTCTGGAATTCATGATCCTACGTTAGCAAAGTTTGGGGTTCTAGTTAAAGAAAATCTGAATAGGACAGGTCATAGCAATCAAGGAGTGCTCAAGGGAGCTACTGCAAGTTTCTCTACTGCATTTCATTCTGGATCTAAAGGCCTTGACTCATCAGCATAACCCTGGATCTACTGAGAGTGAGATCTGCTCACTCACCTCAGAACTTTGGAATGTATTTCTTTAGAGAAAGTTGAGTCCCTTTACTGGATTTGATTTTTTCAGGGGGAACCAGGCCTCTAAGAGACTCTAAGGGTCTCACCAAAGGAGAAGGAAAATGGTCTTGTTCTGTCTGAATTGAACCCCACTTTTTAGGCAGGGACCCCATCCTTGATGATTTATTTGCTCTCAGGGACCAAGTCCAGGTTCCTTGCAATGAGATTCTGGCAGAAAGTAAATAGTGCCCTTGCCCCCAACAGTTGGTGAAGGTGATAAGGACTCATGGTAACAGATAAAATTTACTGAGTGCTTACTAGATGTCAGACTCTGGTCTATGCAGTTAACTCACTATCTCTGTGAGGTGGGTGCTATAAGTTACCCTCACATTACATATGAGTAGACACAGAGGGGTTAGGTATCTTGCCTTGAACAGTGATGCCAGTTTAAAAACCAGGCAGTCTGACTCCAGAGTCCATGCCCCACCTTCAACTCACCTCACCCCTAGACTCCACAGATGCCAGTAAGCCTGGCAGCTACATCAAACCATCCCTCAGACACCAGATATGACTCTTAATTCAAACCATGGAAAATTCCATTTCTTGCCCTGGCTGGTTTGGCTCAGCGGTTAGAGCGTCGGCCTGCGGTCCTGAGAGACCCGGGTTCGGTTCCCGCTAAGGGCATGTACCTCGGTTGCAGTTTGTCCCCGGCCCTGGTCGGTTGTGCGGGTGGCAGCCACTCGATGTGTCCCTTTCACATCGATGTTTCTCTCTCTCTCTCTGTTCCTCTCTCTCCCTCCCAGTCTACCTGAACAAAAAAAAAAAAATTCCATTTCTTGTGGGTAAAGAACATTATAAAACAGAATAATCCTCCCAGTAAGCTAGTACTCATTTCTAAGTATGAAGATGCCATATTTCAAAGGTATTTCATAAAATAACTATTAGAATAGGCAAAATCATGTTGGTTTAACAACACTGTCGAAAACAACTTGTGCTCTTTGTTTTCTTTCTTTCAAGAAAGATTAAAAGTCATGCTCAGACTATCTGGGTCAAACAGTAAGGTAACTTACTTCTTATTTCTACAACCAAGATAAGTAAAAAGATAGAATTACCACAAAGAACTTTTGGTATAAATTTATATACAGAAGTAGAAAATAGAAACATGTAGAAGCTTGTTTAGATCTGAGACTCTACAAATACAGGATTTCTACCTTTTATTAGAATGGGCAAAGTCTAGAAATGGACATCCCTAAAGGCTTAGAATTCGTAGTGGGTAAAGCCCAGAAATAGGGTCAGCTCATGATCAACTGGGAATATAACTATCATATTAGCACATTTTGATCACTGATCTCTCTCTAAGTTACAGAGGTAGGTTTGTTTCTAAATGACTTGTGAATCCTCAGGATGGAAGTAAGTTTAAGTGACCAATGAATTTTAGACCAAGGTCCATGGCAGGTTATAACACAATTTGATAGATTGTTGTGGCAGTCTATAAGTTTTGACAAGGTGGTTTGGGAATCTCTCTCTCTCTCTCTCTCTCTCTCTCTCTCTCTCTCTCTCTCTCTCTCTCACACACACACACACACACACACACACTACAATTGTATTATTGCCCCAGGAAAACTGACCCATTAAGAAAGTCCAACTTCTGCTCTCTGGGCTAATGCTGCTGCACCAAAGACTTAAGGCTTTTGTTTTTGCTTTTGTACTTGAACAAAATTTATATAGCTTTCAAAAATTTAATAACAGCCTGGCCAATGTGGCTCAGTGGATTGAGCATCCTTCCATGGATGAGAGGTACAATTCCCGGTCAGGGCACATACCCAGGGTGTGGGCTGGATCCCCAGAAGGAGGCATGCAGGAGGCAGACATCGATGTTTCTCTCTCTCTCTCCCTTTCTCTTTTTCTAAAAAATTAATAAAAGCATATTTTTAAAAAATAAATAAAAATTAAAAATTTACAACTTTTTTTAGATAATTTATACACCATACAATTTTTCCATTTAAAGTGTACAAGTCCATAGTTTTTAGCACATTCAGAGAATTGTACAACCATCACCATGAATCAATTTTTTGTCACTCCATAAATAAATCATATCTATTAGAAGAACCTCCCACCTAGCCCTGGGCAACCACCAATCTACTTTGTCTCATAAATTTGCCTATTCTAGACATTTCATATGAATGGAATCATGCAATATTTGACCTTTTATGACTGGCTTCTTTCACTTAGCATGGTGTTTCCAAGGATCATCCATGGTGTAACATGTATTAGTACTTCATTTCTTTTTATGGCCAAACAATATGTATTACATCGTATGATTATACTAAATTTTGTTTATCTGTTCATTAGTCCATAGATACTTCATTGTTGTCTCCACTTTTGGACTATAATAAATAATGCTGCTATGAACATTTGTGTACAAGTTTTTGTGTGGTACCGTGATTTCATTTCTCTTGTGTATATATACCTAGGAATAGAATTGCTGAATCATATGGTAACTCAGTTTAACCTTTTAAGGAACTGTCAGACTGTTTTCCCAAAGGCTTAGTAAGGAAGTTTTACATTGTTTTTGGTTTTGCCATCTCTTTGGATTTCCTACCATCATACTCTGTATTACAACTTTGTCTAATTCTTTGCCTTGGAAGAGTTTTAAAGCAAGATTGATCAGGTGATCAATTTTAATGATGAAATGTCAGTGGGCTCCTCCTACTTCTGTTGGCAGTGGTTTTATTGTTCCAGTATGCATTCCAAGAACATTTCATTCGAAGACATGCCTGGATATCTGAAGTCCCAGCCCTAATCAATTGACTAGTTGTTTGTAACCTGTCAAAATTTGCTGACTTATTACCTTGAAAACCATTACTTTAGCTGCTGAATTATTAACATTTATTGATTTTTGCTCTGTAGTACTTGCCAAACTAGGATACTTGCCTTTGAGGCCTCTATGAGTAAATAACAATATCATTTGTATCCAAGAGATTTTCAAGAGCCTCTTGAGAAAGGAAAACACTCTGGCCAAATAGCTTTTTGATGATATTGTTAGAGAAAGAATCATCTAGAAATAATACAAAGAAGCAGTCTACAAAAGCCACTTCTATTAGTGAACCAAAAACCTAATGACCCTGTAAGAGAAGCTAGAAATTGTCCAGTCCAGGGATGGGCAACCCAAAGCCCAAAATCTAATTTCAGAGTGAAAAATTAAAAAGCTGCTGCCAGGCTGTAACTTCTCAATAAAAGAAAAGAGTCTACAAATATTTTAATTTTTCCTAAATTGGCCCTTTTTTTTTAAGGTTCTCACTATTAACTCTATTCAAAAAAAATTTTCATTTCACAGATTCAGAAATTAAGACCTAGAGAGATAAATGAGCTCCTCTAAGGCACGCAAGTCCCTAGGTCTCGTGATTCTCAGTGAGAGCAGTCTCCCCTTGCCAGTCTGCTGCGTTTGTCTGCATTGCTATGTCAACGTGAAGCCATTGAACAGAAGTGAGAGATATAAGTAAACAGTGAACCCTCTTATTTGAACCAGATCCAGGGTTTGTTAACCAAATTAAAGCCACAGCCAGAATAACTGCATGCAAGGCGGCCTGTTCCTAATTATGCTATGTGCCCCTCTCTTCTTTTGTGTTCCTAAATCTTTCCAGGACAGAAATGTAACCACAACAAGAAACAAGTCGGCATTTTTATGGGTTTTTTTTGTTTGTTGTGTGTTTGTTCCACCCAGAAAAATTTCAGTGCTTTCCTTTATGCCATCTTCTCTCTTTTGCTCTTCATGTTCCATAGTCATTGCCTTCGGATCAGTTCAACTCACCCCCCCGCCTGAAGGCTGGTAGTGTCATGGGACAGGGACCAGCCAGGAGTGGGTCTGCCGCAGGCTGGCCTTGTAGTGTGTGGGTTCTTGACTTCATGTAGGAAAGATTTCGCATCAGAATCCAGAGGAGTTTGAGAGTGTTTGTTTGTTTATTTTTATCCTCACCGGAGGATATTTTTCCATTTTTATCTTCAGATAGAGTGGGAGGGGGAGAGAGAGAGAAAAACATCGATGTGAGAGAAACACATCAATTGACTGCCTCCCACATTACCCCAACCAGGGCTGGGGTACATGCCCTTGACCGGAATCAAACCCGTGACTCATTGGTTCGCAGGCCAATGCTCTAACCACTGAGCTAAACTGGCCAGGGCTGAGAGTGTGTTTATCAAAGCTAGGGACGGTGTAACAAAGGAAGGAATTAGGGTAGACGACACAGGGGAGAAGCTAGGCCGTGCGCTCTTCGGCTCTCTCGACGTGTTATAGGAAAGAAGTGAGGCAAGGTGGGGCTGCTCTAGTTCACTGGGAAAGTCAGAGAAAAGGGGACCTTGGAAACAGGATCGGGGGTGAGGCCAGGTGGAGCTGCTGCTGCCCACTGCTCCCCTGGTTGCGAGTCTCGTGGGGACCCTTGGAAAGAAAAAGTTCATGCCCGGGAAGGGGCATGGACATATGGACGTGCTCTAGAGCAAGCCCACATTGAGTCTTTGTTTCTGAGGGCTTTATCTCCTTGTTTTTTCCCCTGCATCTGAGGGAATCTTAGGGGAGGGTTTCAGTAGAATATTCATCAGCTTTCCAGGTTCATTTTTAATATGCTGATGCATTAAAATGAGCATATAGGGGAGTTTTAGATTATTCTTTGGTCTGTTTTACTTTTATCTTAGGTCTGTCTGGTTTTAATGGGATTTTTATTATTTGTTCCCAACTTCATCTGTCCTTGGGTTTAGCTGGCACAAATGGCATTAATTGGGTCTTTGTTCTCTATTTTCCCACGCCAGGGTGATTTGAGCTATGTATTTTCTGGTTAGGGAGGAAGGTATGAACCATTTGCTCTCAAGTGTCCTTGGTTAGGGAAGATAAGGCCTTACAGTTCACAAACTGGCTATAAGTTGCCCACACTGTTTGGCCCTGTTTAATTTTCTTGTCTCAGTTTCCTTATTCCACTTGCCCAGGAATTTCCCTAGCTTTTTACTATCCTACTCATTCTGCTCCATCACAGAATTGGGGATCCAGTTCTTTATCATCTACATTACTTTCTATCCAGAGGCAAAAAGACTGAAACTCTAATTCCTTTCTCCTCCACGGTGAACGGTTTGGGACTCCCGAGCCGAGACATGCCATCACAGTTTCATCTTTCCATCTCCGTCTTTCACTCTAACCTCCGTCAACACCAGCCACTGATCCCTACCTGATTGCCCTAGTAGCAGAGATGCAATTTGGCTTAATTGATTTGATAACCCAAGTGGCATAAATCAATTTCTTTTGGTCATATCTTTAGTGCCCTCCTAACTAGTCCCCCCCCCCCCCATACAGTGACTGCGATGGAATGACAATGGCATCATCTTTCCCTACAGACTGTAGTGAAACTACCATGGACACGCTGCACCAAAGCCTCCAAAAAGTTCCTTTGCTTCAGGAGCCTTAGGTGAGACCCTGGATCCTGACAGGTATCCAAGTTCAGGAAAAGCTGATTCAGCAGCCCCGGTCTGATCTGCCTCTCCAAGCTTTATCAGCAGTTTGCTAGTTACCGTGGCTGCCAAACTGTTATCTCAGAACTCTGCCCTTTCTCGCTGTCTATCTACAGTGCCCTGCACAACTACACAACTTGCTTCTAAGCACTTCCAAAGGTCAAATGACCCCAAACATAATGACTAGTGAGTTAATTCCCCAAGTTGAGGGGTGGCTGAGCTCAATCCACTTTAAGAAAAATGAAAAACCTGGGGAGGATTCGGCCCACGTTGGGCTCACCTGAAAGAGTTCAAGATTTCCAATGAGTTACAGGTTTTCTTTGGGGATACGTACAATGCTTAGTCCTTGAGGAAGATTAATTGGGGGACATGAATTTGAGGAAGAACAAGAAAGTGTTAGAAAAGAGCTTGGTGAGGTGAAGAATTGGGAATGAAAAAGGTTTTCCCTCAAGTTTTATTTTGAGCTGAGCCTGTGGGGAAGCCCAGGACAGAGAAGATAAAGTTGGAATGTTCCATTCTCTTCATAGGTAGGGGAGATTCTCATGCTATTGCCAAAATACTATTATTTCCACACAAAAGGTCTGATACAGCCCTGGCCAGTTTGGCTTAGTGGTTAAAGCATCAGCCTGCAGACCAGAGAGTCCCAGGTTCGGTTCCCACTAGGGGCATGTACAAAAAAAAAAAAAAAAAAAAATCTAATACAATGGTTCTAATCTGGGGGCAATTTTGGGTGATATTTTGCAATGTCTGAAGACATTTTTTGGTTGTCATTACTAGAGGAAGCGCTGCAGGTATCTTAGAGGTAGAGGCCACGCAGGCTGCTGAACATCCTAGAATGCACAGCCCCCAAACATAGAACTACCCTGCCCCAAATGTTAATAGTGCCAGAATTGAGAAACCCTGTAACAAACCGAAGAGGAGTCATCACAGTGTATCTAAAAGAATTTTCTTCCAGTGAACATTTTTCAACTCAGCATCAGAACAGATCATTCTGATGTGCCAGGAACTTTCCCTCCAACCAGGTCAACTTGTTCAAGTAACTGCCTCTGGGTTCAGATGAGTAAAACCACTCTGGCCCATAGGTCTTTCCTAGAGATTCTGAAGCTGAATGTGTTACTAAGTTTCCACCTGTGGACCTTGTGTAATACAGGATAAAATGTGTAAAGGTTGAGCCCTGGCTGGTTTGGCTCAGCGGTTAGAGCGTCAGCCTGCCGTCCGGAGAGACCCGGGTTCAGTTCCCACTAAGGAGGGCACGCACCTCGGTTGCAGTTTGGTCCCGGTTGGGTTGTATGGGTGGCGACCACTCGATGTGTCCCTTTTACGTCGATCTCTCACCCTCCCTCCCCCTCTATCTGAACAAAATATCAAAAAAAGTCCGGGTGAGAATTAAAAAAAAAAAAAGTGTAAAGGTTGAGAAATTTAGATGAAGAGTTAGGGTAAGAGAGGCGGGGCCTAGCAAAGAGCCACCTATTGTAAGAGTTTGGTAAGCAAACTGCCCCCACTCCCTCAAAGCTCTGGATGTACTCAACACTGCTGTTAAATCTCCAGGGAGAGGAATAAGTAAAACAAAACATATCCTCAGATGAACACACAAAGAACGCAGTCAAGACACACTGTAGTGTAAAGTGAAGCCCACCTCCAGCCGGCCTCAGTTCTTCTTGCCTTCCAGGCTCAACACACATCGCTCCTGGTGACCATGACCCCGGACTACCACCCGCCGGCTGTAAGCCTTGCGCAAAGGCAGACGCTCTCCAGATGTCTTCCAACAATGACCAGGTTTTTATCCCTATGTCACAAAGAAACACCGATGGCCTCCCCAGGATGTCCCCCAATGACCTGAAGTCACCTGAAGGAGGCGTGTTAAGTTTTCATAACATCTGCTATCGAGTAAAAGTGAAGAGTGGCTTTCTGCTTAGTCAAAAAACAGTTGAGAAAGAAATACTGATGAATATCACTGGGATCGTGAGGCCTGGCTTCAATGCCATTCTGGGACCCACGGGTGGAGGCAAATCTTCGTTGCTAGATATCTTAGCTGCAAAGAAAGATCCGCAGGGATTATCTGGGGATGTTTTGATAAATGGAGCACCTCGACCTGACTCATGTTATGTGGTACAAGATGAGGTTGTGATGGGAACGCTGACGGTGAGAGAGAATTTACAGTTCTCAGCAGCTCTTTGCCTTCCATCAACTATGACGAATCATAGAAAAAATGAACGGGTGAACATGATCATTCAAGAGTTAGGTCTGGCTAAAGTGGCAGATTTCAAGGTTGGAACTCAGTCTACTCATGGTGTGTCTAGAGGAGAAAGAAAAAGAACTAGTATTGGAATGAAGCTTATTATCAACCCATCTCTCTTGTTCCTGGATGAGCCCACAACTGGCTTAGACTCAAGGTCAGCAAATGCTGTCCTTTTGCTCCTGAAGAGGATGTCTAAACAGGGACGAACCATCATCTTCTCCATTCATCAGCCTCGTTATTCCATCTTCAAGTTGTTTGATAGCCTCACCTTATTGGCCTCGGGAAGAATAATGTTCCACGGGCCTGCTCAGGAGGCCTTGGGATACTTTGCATCAGCTGGTCACCACTGTGAGCCCTATAATAACCCTGCAGACTTCTTCCTGGATGGTATCACTGGAGACTCCTCTGCCGTGATATTAAACAGAGAGGACAGAGATGAGGAAGTCAAGGAGTCTGAAGAGCCTCCCAAGAGAGATAAGCCACTCAGAAAAATTAGCTAAGTTTTATGTCGACTCCGCCTTCTTCAGAGAAACAAAAGTTGAGTTGGATCAACTCTTGGGGGTTCAGAAAAAGAGCACAGTCTTCAAGGAGATCACCTATACCACCTCCTTCTGTCATCAACTCAGATGGATTTTCAAGCGCTCCTTCAAAAACTTACTGGGTAATCCTCAGGTTTCTACAGCTGAGGTAATAACAGTTATCCTGGGACTGGTTATAAGTGCCATTTTCTATTATCTAAAAAGTGACCCTATGGGAATCCAGTAGAGCTGGGATGCTCTTCATCCTGACCAACAACCAGTGTTTCAGTACTATGACATCTGTGGAGATCTTCGTGGTCGAGAAGGAGCTCTTTATGCATGAACATGTCAGTGGATACTACAGAGTGTCATCTTATTTCTTTGGGAAACTGCTATCTGATGTACTACCAATGAGGACGTTAACAAGTATGCTATTCACTTGTATGACATACTTCTTGTTAGGACTGAAATCAATGGTGGAGGCATTCTTCATGGTGATGTTTACCCTTATAATGGTGGCTTATACGGCCAGTTCTATGGCACTGGCCATAGCAGCAGGTCTGAGTGTGGTATCCATAGCAACACTTCTCATGAATATCTTCTTTGTATCTATGATGATTTTTTCAGGGTTGTTGGTCAATCTCAGGACTGTTGTGCCTTGGCTGTTGTGGTTTCAGTATTTGAGCATCTCTCGGTATGCAGCTTTGCAGCATAATGAATTTTTGGGACAGAACTTCTGCCCGGGACTCAATGTAACAGCAAACAATACCTGTAGCTTTGCAATGTGTACTGGAGAAGAATTCTTGATAAACCAGGGCATCGATCTCTCACCTTGGGGCCTGTGGCAGACTCATGTAGCCTTGGCATGCATGATTGTTATCTTCCTTACAATTGCCGACCTAAAATTGTTATTTCTTAAAAATTTTTCTTAGAGTTGTTCATCTGCAAAAGACTAATTCTTCCTACTTCTACCCTATGTTGTTGTTGTGGCTGGGCATAGGATTGTACATTCGCCCTCAGCATTTCACTCAATTGTCTTGTCTTGTACTTAAAATTTTTTCTCCTTATTTTGTATTCTCAAAACGTTCAGGCCCAGAAAATTAAAAACATGTGCTGATTTAAAAAATTTTTTTTTTAATTTCTCTGTAATTTATGTGCTTTATCTATACATTAAAAGGAGCATCTCGATTTATGCATTAAAAAAAAAAAGACACACAGCATAACACCAGTGCTTAATGTCACTGAGTTTGGACTTGACTTCTTTGGAGAAGGCATAAGAGATGAGGTCTCATTGCTACAAAACTCAGTGTCCAACTCTGTTGGTACAAACTCCTGATTTTTTGTTTGTTTGTTTTATTTTTTTTCTTTATTGATGTTAGAGAGAGAAAGGAAGGGAGAGGGAGAGAGAGAGAAACATCGATGAGAGAGAATATCGATTGCCACACCAGCAAGGCTGTTTGTTTTTTTAGAGATAGAGGAATGGAAAGAGAGGGAAAAAAGGAGATAGAAACATCGATGTAAGAGAGAAACATCTATCAGCTACCTCCTGCATGCCCCCTCCTGGAGATTGAGCCCAAAACCTGGGCATGTGCCCTGACCATGAAGGGAATCCAACTGGGACCTCTCAGTCCATGGGACAACACTCAATCCACTGAGCCACACTGGCCGGGTCAAACTCTTCTTTTAATTTCTGTTAGGTACTGAAGGGAAAAGCCTAATTTGATTGTGTTACTGCCCAAGTTAAGGTTGAGAAAGGAAAAAATCAATCCCAGACCAGATAGCCTTCTGATGATGATGTTAAGGTAAGAATTTACTAGAAAACATTTTAAATGCTGTGTAAACTTTAATAATAGTTTATGCCAATGAGTGTTTCCTTGCTTTCTAGTTGTTAAATATTAACCCATACCCAAGATATATTATTTTTAAAATACGCTATATACCCTGAACTTGCCACAAATATCCATCCATCTTTTTCCTGTTTTTTTTTTTTTGTTTTTTTTTTACAGCTCCTTGATTTAATGTCCTCTTAGTTTCTTGATATGATTGTCCAGTTTCCTATTCTGAACTCTTTCATTTTGTGCGTGTGTGTGTGTGTATGTTTTTTAAAAAAAGAAGTATGAGTCAGTGTTACTTTTTTGTAAATGTTTCTTTGGCATCTCTGATATATTCTGGTCTCTGAAATCTAATTTCCTCTTCTCTGCCCATTTGAAAAATAGGTCTCTTGCCCGGCCAGTGTGGCTCAGTGGTTGAGCATCAACCCATGCACCAAGAGATCGCTGGTTTGATTCCCGTCAGGGCACATGCCCAGGTTGTGGGCCAAATCCCCAATGGGGGGCATGCAGGAGGTGGCCAATCGATGTTCTCTCTCATCAATGTTTCTTTCTCTCTCTCCTTCTCTCTTCCTCTCTCTCTTTAAAATCAATAAAGAAAAAAATTTTTTTTAAAAAGAAGAAGAATAAAGAATAGGTCTCTGCTGCTGGGCTGGTTATTGGTAAGCCCTCAGCAAGGTCTGAGGATTGCTCTGCCAGGGGACAGTCGACCGATTCCAAACAGGCTGTAATACCCAGCATGTCTTCTCTGCAGCTCTCCTGTTCTTTCTTCGTATCTCGAGATTCTATAGCAAAGAGTCCTAATGCTAGAGTTCACATTTCCCCAGGCCTTGTCACATAACTATGAAGACTTTGTGTTGCAAAACAAACAAACCCCACTGGTCTACTTTATATGCTCAAATAGTTGTTTTAGGCTCAAAATGGTCAGACCTTGGAGTGTATTGCAATAGATATTGTAACTCACAAACAACTTTATGGAAGACTTATCAAACTCAACTCTAAACTACATTTTCCTTTCCTCAAAATTCACTTCCAATTTTTTTTTTTTTTTGCACAACACAAATTTTACATAGTTGTAAACTTTCCGTTTGGTGTACTTTGTCACTTAAAAAATAATTTAATCTACATATTCCCTAGAGCCAGCAGAGGCTACATTCCTGTCATTTAAAATAGTTTCCTATGTCACTATACCATAATTTGCCGAGTCATTCCCTTATTTGGCATTAGCTTATTTCCAATTCTTCCCTCCTATAAATAGCAGCACATGAACATCTTTGCACAAATTACATTTTTCCCTTTTGGGCTATTTCCTTGGGGTATATTCCAAAAACTGGTATTAGTGGGTCAAAGGTTTGAAAAGTTTCATAGCTCTTGTTACCCATGCCAGAATATTCTCTAGGCAGAGTGTAGTATATTTGAGTATTTCAAATGTTTAACTGGGTTTCCCTGCAATATACAAAGTTAACTTTCCTCTTCTTTTATTCTTGCATAATCTTCAGTAGGGGAGAGAGTTACAAAGTTTCAAAACAAAACAAGAATAAAGGCAGAAGCATGCCTTCAATAGCCAGAGATGAGTTCTTTTAGGCTAACTTGAGAAAATGCTACCCCATCAGTGCTGGGATGAAATATCTGTACTCCAGGCAGAATAGAAAATGACCCCCAAGGTCTGTGAAGTGGTGTCCGCTGATGATAACTGAGGCTGAGATAGTTTCAGGGAGAATGCAAAGCTGGCAAGTGACAAGCGATCAGGAAGACTTAGTAAAGAGGGTGGAGGGAGAGGTAGAAAATGAAAAGGACGTGCACTCCCGTTACCGCTGCCTTTGGAATGATGGCACCAGCAGCAAGAGAAATAAACTGGTTCTGTGCCTTTGAGGTTCGGATTATCCACCATCAGGAGGTGACTTCTAAGAACTGTGACTACTTGGTCTCCTTGGTTTAAGAATCAAAACCAAAACAATACAAAAATAACCCACTGAGTCATCCTTACCATCTGGTTCCTTGAGCTAATAATAGTGATGATGATGATCAACACGCACTAAGTGCTTACTATGTGTCTGTCACTTTTTTAAAAATTGATTTTAGAGAGGGAGAGGATGGAAGTGTGGGGCGGGGTGGGGAGAGACAGACATCAATTTGTTGTTCCATTTATTTATGCATTCATTGGTTGCTTGTGCCCTGGGCATTCATTGTGCCCTGACTGGGGATCAAACCCAAAACCTTGGTGTATTGAGATGATGCTCTAACCAACTGAGCTACTTGGCCAGGGCGATGCCTGTCCTTTTCCTATAAGGCTTCACACATATAACTCATCTCATCCCAACAACCATTGTTATCCCCACTTTACAGATAAGGAAACAGAATCAGAAAGCTAAGAAATTTCCTCAAGGTCACAGAGCTAGTACCTGTCTGAGCCAGATCGAAACCAAGTCAGTTGACCACTATACCTGTGCTCTGACCACTGCACCATACATAGGACCTCAGGTGCTACAATCAAAACTGGCTCATACATGGTTAAATGATGCACTAAAATATCCAATTTTAGGTTTTTTAAAAACTTCTGAATGTTTAAAATTATGTGTTTCTATTCATCTAAATTGAAACAATGAGTTATGCAAACATGTCTTTTTAAAATTTAAACTGTGTGTGTATTAATATCAAATATAATTTTTTTGTTAATCCTCACCTGAGAATATTTTTTCATTGATTTTTAGAGAGAGTGGCAGGGGGGAGAGAGAGAGAGAAATATTGATGTGAGAGAGACACATCGATTGGGTGCCTCCTACACAACCCAGACTGGAGTCAGGTATTGAACCTGAAACCCATGTATGTGCCCTTGACCGGCAATCTAATCTGTGACCCTTCGGTCCATGAGCTGACACTAACTGCTGAGCCAAACTGCTCATATTTGCCCTATAACTCTCTCTTACTCTATATATGTACATATTCTTATTTTTTTAAAAGCACTTATTTGAGGGTGATTAGCAAACATCATTACTCCATTACTTCCTAAATACTTCATGTTCTCTCCTAAACTGTGCCTAGGTGAGCCCCATCCCTGCTAGGGAAAATTCCAGAACACCCTTGACTCCTTGACATCACTGTGCCTGTTTCCTGTCAGTGTTCTGAGTGTCTTTGTACCAATCTACCCAACTCCTTCCCTCTCTGAAAACCAACAAGAGGATTATTCAATTAATATTTGTATTACGTCCGGCCGTGTGACCAAGAGGTCTCCAGTTTGATTCCTGGTCAGGGTACATGCCAGGTCCCCAGTGAGGGGCATGCAGGAGGCGACCATTCGATGTTCTTTCTCATCAATGTTTCTCTCTCCCTCTCTCTAAAATCAATAAAGGAAAAAAAAATTATATTACTATTTGTTTAAAGCCAATATCTTCATTTTATTACTGTATTGAAAAATGTTAAAACCCTAAAAGTTTTTGATTTTTTTAAAGAAAATCTCCTACAATTTTCACTTGGGGTTTTATCTTTAATTTAATTTAATAATTTTTAATCTAGAATAATTTATTCACAACAAATATTTATTGAGCACCTACTATATCTCAGACATTGCTGAAATGAAACTTGCTGGCACTTTGAGCAATTACTATGTCCCAGGTACTTCACCTGGAACACCTGAGTTAATCCTCACAACTATTACCATTCCAGTTCTCCAGATGGGCAAACGAAGTTAAGTCATTTGCCCAAGGCCCTGTAGCTAGCCAGAATTCAGACCCAGGCTGTCTGCCTCTGTCCAGAACCTGTGCTCATAGGCACCGGGTAAACTGCTGGGGGTGCCTGGAGGGGAGGCTCATTCGTGGGGTCATCGAGGGTACTAGCATTTGTGAGATAGTGGGGACTCTTGCCTTAGATGAGTTTGCTTATGGTCCAGGGAGGGATCCAAAAGGCAGTTCCATTTTTCCTGCTTCTGGGCTCTAGCAGATAAAATAGATAAAAGCAAGAAAATTATGAGTGTGCGTGGGTAGTTCTTTCTGTCAAAACTGACAATGGAGTCTTGGCCTTAACTTGGCTTCCAGGATATTCTCAGTGTTTCTGGACTCCCTCTAGCCACTCCTCCCCTCTTTCCTTTGCGAGCTTGCTCATCCTCC